TGAGAAACAATACTGTATATGTACATAAGAACATAAGAATGGAGGAAACTGCAGCGGGCCTATTGGCCCATACTGGGCAGTCAAGTAAGAGAAACAATTGAGACCCTACAATTGTGTGTAAATGAGGCAGAAAGTCAGATCAGCAACCTGGGACTTGGTCACATATGACAGCAGGGTCTACCATTAGACAACACATTATTGTTTGTATACCTGCACTGTCTATGTATATAATATAACTGCAGTGTTTATATACATGATGACTTACTATGATTTTATATTACACGTTTACAAAATAAATATCTACATCTATCTATCTATCTATCCGAAATCTTTGGGATAGAAGGTGGGTAGGGCAAGAAGTGGGCAATGAGGGAAGGTGGGTAGGGCAAGAAGTGGGCAATGAGGGAAGGTGGGTAAGACAGACAGATATACAGTAATGTATGTATTTGTTCTTTGTGTATGGTGTATGTTAGTATATACTGTATACATACGTGTGCATAAACAAGTATGACACAGAGGAGGAAGAAGAAGAGGAAGAATAGAAGAAGAAGAAGAAGAAGAAGAAGAAGAAGAAGAAGAAGAAGAAATAAAATCAATCATACAATAACAGTCACAAATACAATAATAAATGAATTAATAGAAAGACAACGTCGTAGTTAAAACTTCACACTAAAGATATGATAATAAATGTATTCAAAGTAAATTCTTATGAGTGTAAAGTTGCAGCCATTTTGATCACAGTGTTTGTGTTAAGTTAGGCCAGGTTAGGTTAGGTTAGGAGTGAGTGTGTTCAATACGCCTTCACAAGAGAGAGAGAGAGAGAGAGAATAAGGTGAGCCTTGGTGCAATTCTCCTTTGGCAGACACACGAATACTACCTGACAAAGAGAGAGAGAGAGCGAGAGTGCATGTACTATATAATATACAAAATACCAGTAAAGAGTAAGACACTTCGACCAATGATAACGCAGACAACACCACCATAGGCCTATTCCTATATTAGAATCCTTATAGGCTGAATGTGGACTAGTACAGGTTTTTCTGACTACAACCTGCAGAATTTGTCTCCTGTTTGAACCAAACGTGTATATTACTTGTCTCTACCACACATGAAGGCTGCTAAGTCTATATTGAAAACTGGAAGGAAACACGATTTTATTTTTTTTATCATATTATATTTGGTAAATTTATTATGATTTGTTATTAAAATACTTCATAGATTCAATATCAGATAGTTGTTGATTAAGTGTGAAAATAGTTGTATTTTGTGTAATTCTCGCTGTTGGATTTAAAGTCAAAATAGTTGTTGGATGGTGTGGTGATGTGGGTCATTAGTATGTGTTGTATTGTACTAGAAAACCACACGTTATCGAGGACGTTGTGAGGCTGTAGACCTAAACATGGTTGTGTGTGTGTGTGTGGGTGGGGGGGGGTTGAGGGTGGATAGCGGAGATGGGAGGGAAGTTTATATTGATTTCTACATAACCCGGAAGTAATCTTGTTTGGTTACGTCGTGTGTGTGTGTGCTAACCTTTGATAAGTGAATTAGATTATATATTAAAAAGCGAGAGAGAGAGAGAGAGAGTTGTATATCTTCCCATACACCAATCTCAGTTGACTATACATTTCACCATCATATTAGCATAACAAACCACTACTAAAACTTTGTCCGTAGGGGTGAGAGAGAGATCAACTACCTGTCTCAAAAGTGAAATACGGGTTAAATATGGCAACTAAATGACGATACCATAAATGCCTACCTTCTGTTCTCATGATTTACGCTTATAAACATCAATGTATGAATCTTTAGGAATATCTGGATCATTGCTAAATAAACATTGATGAATCTTGGATCTGGGCGAATATTCAGATGCTTAAAACTGTTACATATATTTTAAAGCTATAATTATTTGTCCTGAGTGGAAGAGCTTGAGTTATCTTGTGTTTTTACTACCACTAGGACTAATTTTGTTTGGCGCTTAATGAACCTAGGTGTTGAAGTGGGTAATAATATTGTAACGTCAAAGTCAAGTGTTGATTGAATTGCATAGACTTTAAGTGCAATTATGTGTTTTGTTTTGCTTTCACGACTTTCTTTTCTGTTTCGGGTGTCTGGCACTATACTGTACTGTATAGGCTTCATATATTTACGGTCTGAACTTTTTTAATTAGTTACGCCTCGGCAGAAGCTAAAATAATTTATAATATAGACTGGGTATTGATTATATTAATACTCCACTACAGCGAATATTTTAAACACATCTCAGTAAGAGTAACAAATACAGTCAAATATATTTGCGACACGTATGCATCCACGAGTAATACTTCATGGTGATAATTCAAACTCTGGACAAAACAACTAACTCGCATCTCTGCTACACACTTGTCCACAACCTGAATACCGCTTTGAAAGTACAGTACCTGTATAATTTCTTTGACTTAAGCAGAATAATAATAATATAATATATAATGTTTTTATTTTTTCAATTTAAAAAAAATAATTGCCAACATATTTGTTACGGAATTAAAATATATTCTGTAGTGTAAATATTAAGAAGTTCAAGCCACACCCAAGGTTTAGGACGACGCGACACCAGACGATATCTATTTTAAACGTTTCAGTTAAATACGGCCATGTTATGAACTACAGTACTTGTTACCATCATAAATGTTAAATTTTGTACCATAAAATTAATTTTATTCTAGTAAAGATCATTTAACACTTAATACCAAGTTTCAGAAATATAATAAGCTTACGTTCGCTTCAGCCTTTAACATAAATATATTTCAAATCGTTGTAACTTGACGTTTCATTCCTGTACATTGATGGTTCTGTCAGCTGGCATCAGTTCTTAACGGTTATGTGGAGTCCAAACATCCTTACAAACCAACAACGGTTGATAATATGAACGTGTATACCAGTCTTACTGCCAGTTTGCCGTCCCGTCCCCTCCCAAGGTTGCTGAAGATTATGATCGTACCTTCACATCATTGTTATACCTCCGTTTAGTTGTCGTACCGCACCACCAAAAATGTTTACTTCATGTCCATAAGTTAAAAAATAACGCATTATATTATTTTATCTTATGATATTACTATGTGTACATAATAGAAACATAGATAAATATATGGTAATAAGTCTAGAAGTGTAATTTAGCCTCAATACTAGTTTATGTAACATTCCTATACAGTATAAACCAGGTAAAAACAACAATTAATTCTAATATTGTAACTTTTATAATCAAGATAATATTTTATGCTAATTCGTATTAACTGACTGACTCGTAAGACTGACCATTGAAACTAGTGCTGACGCGGGTTAAAATTCCTGACGTCAGCACTTACGACATGAAGGTGTGGAAGGACGGGGAAAGAAGTGAGTCAACAACAACATGTATGGATATAGGATACTGGGTGATAGATAGACAGACATAGATAGATTGATAGATAGATAGATTGATAGATAGAATGATATCGAATAAAATAATTATACAGGTTTATATTGGTACATTGTGTACTGTATTATAATGCAGGTATACAATCATTGTACATAGAGAGTACAGGTAAACAAAGAATATAAAATGTGAAGGTGCACAAACAAATGGCTGACATACTTCAATACGGCCATTATGTCTTTTAAAATCAAGACAAAAGCATAGAAATGTAAAGCAATTATAACAAAGTATTAATATCAATCTAAAATACGTCCTCGATGACCATTTGAAGCTCATTAATACATAACATCATTCAACATATATATAAATGTTAATAATCTTTAAGAATCCTGCACCATGGCCGGGTTGATTAGATCATAACTGCCGAGGAAGAATACAATAGCGGACCTTGTTTATCTCAAAGATGTTTACCATTTAATCCATGAAATATTAAAGCACTTTATATTAATGATTTTTGTGTCTCAATGTACCAGAACACTTACACAGATCCACAAATATTCCACACCCAACCTTTATACTGAAAATAGTACGAATTCTAAACAACTCGTACGATAATTCTTCTCTTATTTGGAGATGAGAAAATTTCCAGGTAGGGATTTTCTAAAGCGAATAAACAGCTTATATTTAGCCAATAACGTGTCTATATCAACTTTACTGCAACTCTTAAATATAATTAGAAAAAAATATCACCTGAAACTACAATCAGAACACAAATATAGGAGTTTCTTGAGGATATGGTTAGGAAATCAGAGAATAACAACGCATTTGATGGCGCGACTTTGCATTCATCAGCTGTGCGCCTGTCATGTCAGGGACGCCACATCACCTCACCTTAACCGTCCAGGATCTGCCCCACGGGAAAAGGGAAACAACGGAGCACCTTAACTTTCGTCTTTATTCAAGACATCTTCAGAGGCAACTGGATTACATGGACAGAGAGAAGCTTAAATATACAGGGTGACCTGTCCATGTAATCCAGTTGCCTCTGAAGATGTCTTGAATAAAGACGAAAGCTAAGGTACTCCGTTGTTTCCATCTTCCCGTGTGATTTTATCAAGATTTATCTTATCCACGTTTTCATTGTGGATTTACATGAATATATATATATATATATATATATATATATATATATATATTATTGAAATAAACAGCATGATACTTGACCTTTATTTACCAACAGAGGGATATTTAGATTCCTCCCATCCGGTTCCTTGAATTAAAATGTATTTGTACTCATTTAGATTACCGGTACTCGCTATTGTAATTAAAATCAGTAATGTAAGAAATTAAATAAAAATTAGAAGCAAGGAGAAAGAGTGCTAGCGAGTGCTAACTCCAGCAGCCAAGACAAATCACGTAACTCACAAACATAAGATACCGCGCGCGAGCGTACATTATCGTACATAGGAACTCGTACCCAACTGATGGACAAGAATATGACAGGACTAATACTTGAATCATTTTAGGTCAAAATTATCGTCATCGACCACTGAGTCGGGAAGTTTAGTCAGTATATCCCTATCAGTTGGAGGAGAAGGTAAGGTTCGAATATGCTGTGTTCTGGGAATATTTAGTGTTGTGTGTAGTAACGAACATTGGATTACGACTCCACACGGAAGATGCAGTATTATTAAAGTGAAGGTAAGATTAAATAATCATATGAAGGTAATTAAGTAGATACGGTGAATTAATAAGCAAAGTTATACCTGTTCATTATAAAATAAGTCGTGAAGACAGGAGGTGGAAACTATTAATAAACTCGTGTTAAGTGAAATATATCCAGATGAAAGTACTTTTGCCGTTACTTTTCGAGATAACCAGAGATCTATACCGTCCCAAGGTCCTGCACTAACTTACTGTAACTTACACCGTGAACAAATACTTAATTAATTCATAAATAACAAAATCTCAAACATTAAGAGGAATTTGTTGATTTTAATTGATAACCGATCCAGTGAGAGCCATCCACTACAGGCACATTGTTAGTTTGGTACATTACACCAGGAAATATTATTGGTTCATCAAGAAGTGCTAACGTAGTGCAATAAAATAGTGATTGTATAGAAGGAATAAAGAAAGAGTTCGTGCCACAGAAAAGTATTAATACAGAGTAAATATCTAGTACAGCAAGTGTTAGTATGGATCAAGTGTTACCGGTAGTAAGCAGGAAAGTTCTAGCACAGCAGAAGCACCTGTACAACATGACGTGGGAGAATTTCGGGGAATACCTGTGTCGGCTACGGCATAATGTACTTCTATAGAATGATTTATATTGAAGGTATTACTTTATAGCTAATTTTAGTGTGACATACGGTATACAGAGACCTCTTGGCCGCATTAAGTTACCGCGATATCCTATTTATTTCGTTTTTCCGTATTCTTATGTTCTTATTTATGTTTATCGACATATTCGTGTGTTTCAGTAGGTTAAATAACTAATATGTACTTAAGCATATGTGAATGTTTGGTAATTATAAGAATTTATATATGTATTAAAATTTTTGTTTTAAAGACGAATATTTTTACTTAATGAAAAACACTTACAATGCTACGTACTGTACAATATATACAGTACGCTGCTTGACGCGAACAATATGTAACCTTAATTGACCCCATAAGTACATCGTCCAGCTTACATTGAAAACAAAAAAATATGTGAATATCCGTGTTAGATTGTATAAAAACCTGGACGAGTAACAAATTCCTAGGTTACAATGACGGTAAATGTCGTAATAAAGGGCCTTGAGTCACTTAGTGCTATTTCATCATACGCAGTGTACTAGTAAACGCCTTTAGCAGAATATGTTTGACAGCAATGTATCGTTCTCTTGTGTTGGTAGGGGGATATAGGCGATATAGATAAAGTTCTTATAATATCCGAGCAGGATAGGACTCGGAGCAACGGATTTAAGTTGGATAAGTTTAGGTTTAGGAGGGAGATAGGAAGAAACTGGTTCACAAATAGGGTGGTGGACGAGTGGAACAAGCTTAGCAACTTTTTGGTAAGTGCTGGAACTCTGGAAAGTTTCAAAAGGAGGCTGGATAGATTCATGGATGATAGAGAGTGGTAGTAACTCTCGACAGGAGCTGCCATGCACAGGCCAACCGGCCTATTGCAGACTCCTTATTTTCTTATGTTCTTATGTAGTACCTTGAAGATAACATTATATTAGAAGATACTACTGCTCAAACGTGTGCCGATAAATAAAAATCGAACATTTTGAATTTATTTTCTAAGCAAATTCGATAAATACCTACACTTGTTATGAGCCTGATACGTAAAGTCTTCTTAATTATATCTTTATTGCCCCTTCAACTGTTAGAATATGTTAATATACTCGTAGTGCAAAAGAGGTACTATGTGCGTGTCAATAGTCCACTAGTTGTACCACGCCCTATATTATAAATCTGCTTCGTCTCGTTTCCGGTCCCGTATTTTTGTTAACTCATAATTAAAGGGAAATACGGGTTAATCTCCGTTGTAAATTTTTTATAACAACCTTATTATTGTGTTTGTATTTTTATAAATCCTTTTGTGCTCATTACTGCTCGTGCGCATTGTGTGAGAAATCGCGAAATAGCACAGATCAATATGGAAATTTCCGTGACGTTTAGCATCACTAGAACATAAATTGTATCCAAGACATTGTTATATTTTGGTAATTAGTTTGGGCAGGCTGTTAGATAGATGTAATTGGCTACTTGGCCGAAAATTACCGGCTGGGCAGACTGGAAGCTACATCCCCGAGAATTCCAGGCCAGACAGACTAGAGGCCGGGGAATTCCTGGCTAAGTAGGCACTACCTAGCATCTGGGTAGTTGATTATCTTGTAAGATAATTTATTTTCAGTCCGGCTGATTAGATACGGATGAAATGGTTAACGTACAATATAACGTTTAAAACGATAAAGTTAACATTATTAATTACCAAACATATTTTCTTTTCTTCTCAAGCTTAAAGTTATTAACTGTATCGATGTCGAAGCGTTACCCTCCATAAACTTTATATACCATAAGAAATACCGACTTTTAATACACATTGAAAGCATCACCTATAATTAAAAACGCGTCCATAGCCTAGTATTATCCTGCGAATGCTATATGCTGTTTATTCACTGTGTTCACCATATAATCGTAAGCCTCACTATTATAGTCGTTTTGTGCTGTGTTCGTTGATTTCGTAAACATGAGCAGCATTCATTTCCGCCGGTTTGTCATGTGACTCATTGTGTATTTGTTGGTTGAAAATAACTTTATTTATGCTCCTACAGATCACGTAACAATATTATTATTATCATTATCACCAGGCTTTTATTGTCAACTATTTACTGTTTTTAATAACAAAATAGGAACCAGTGCGGAATTGGAATTAACACGGCAAAATCTCTATCACCATAACAAAATTAGCATTACACCATTGCAAAATCGGACATACCGAAACTAAATAGCCAACATCGTATGAAGATTAGGATTATTTTTATGGCTATCGTCGTGAGGATTTTAATACGATAATGAAAAAGTAAATCACCTTGTACTTAGGATTACTGTCTACCCTAGAAAGACGAAGAGTGCGGGGAGATGTGATAGAAGTATTTAAGTGGGTGAAAGGAATCAATAAAGGAGATATAGATAAAGTTCTTATAATATCCGAGCAGGATAGGACTCGGAGCAACTGATTCAAGTTGGATAAGTTTAGGTTCAGGAGGGAGATAGGAAGAAACTGGTTCACAAATAGGGTGGTGGACGAGTGGAACAAGCTTAGCAACTTTGTAGTAAGTGCGGGAACGCTGGAAAGTTTTAAAAGGAGGCTAGATAGAGAGTGGTAGTAACTCTCGATAGGAGCTGCCATGCACAGGCCAACCGGCCTATTGCAGACTCCTTATTTTCATATGTATTGTGTAGCAGCACGAGTACGGCTGGCATATTCTGATATAAGAAAATAGACATGATAGGAGTGGCGAGTCGGGTTTCAGGGTTTGTTTATCCGCAGTGTAGTGGCCTCTTGGCGTGTTCTAGTATTTTCGTTTATGTATCGTCATCGATTTTAGTCTCATATGATGACCTTTCTTTACAGTGTCCTAACACAGTCATCTATAAGAGTACATTTCCTAACACAGTCATCTTAGAGTACATTTCTTAACAACTGTCTACAGCGTCCAAACACAGTCATCTCTATGAGTACATTTCCTAATACAGTCATCTTAGAGTACATTTCCTAACACGGCCATTTAAGAGTACATTTCCTAACATGTACAGCGTCCTAACAGTCACCTCTAAGAGTACAATTCCCAACAGAGTCATTTGAGAGTAAAATTGTGGAAATGTGTGTGTGTTTTGTAACATCAGATATAAGAAAATAAACAAAGAATAAATCCGCGGGGTTGAGAAGAAGCACCTATCACTTCCCACTTGAGCTATGCTAACCCACCGCGTCTTGCTCTTCATTAACGCTTGGTAGATATTAACTAAAATCACCAGATAGGTAAATAGATATTATATAATGTAACACAGTTTACTTATGTGAAAGTTGACGAGTAATTATATTTATCATAAGTATTTCGATATATTAAAATAGGTTTTTAATTTATAAGATGAATATACTGTTGCTAGGGAAGGCTATAGGAATTGTGGTGGTTGTAGGAATGGTGGAAGGAGTTGTGGTTGTATTGCTAAGGGTAGGAATGGTGGTGATGGTGTTAATGATAGAAGTTGTTGTGGTGTTAATGGTGAAGTTATTAGTGGTGGTTTTGGCACCCCAGCCTTAACTAGTGACACACACAACGCACGTCTCTTGTTACTAACCAACCCAAACATGGACAGTTGAGTTGCACTGGCGCCTAACACTGGTTACCACGGCTTCCGACATCAGTTGCCACGGCTTCTGACACCAGTTGCCACGGCTTCTGAATTGTTATATGACACTGGCCATCTCGGGATAGGTTAGATTACAAGATAATGTATTGATATCTCCCCAGGCGTCAATTTACCAGTTCACTCATTACATTCATAAGAACATAAGAATGGAGGAAACTGCAGCGGGCCTATTGGCCCATACTGGGCAGTCCCATTTGCACCCAACCCCTATTGCTCATATAAGCATCCAACCTATGTTTGAAGCTATCCAGAGTATTCGAGTTAATGATGATGTTTGGTAACTTGTTCCATTCGTCCACTACTCTGTTTCCAAACCAGTGTTTACCTATTTCGCGCCTATTTACATAGTGAGGTTGGATTAACCCATGTCTTTATAATCTTTGAGGACGATGACTTTATAACCCTTTGAGGACGATGACCTGTAAAAACCAACGAGGAAGATGGCAATAAAGGTTTTAAATACGATAATATAAGCTATAATCTACAAAGGGTTAAACCATCGTAGGCAAAGGATTAAGCATAAATGTATAGTGCTCTCCTCGCTCTCTATTCTTAACAGAAATCAGGTAGATACCAGAATGATAAAGAACGGCAAAATGTGATAAAAATATGTCAAAGAAGATTCTCAGTATAACAACATAATAAAGATGATCCTCAGTATGATAACAAAGAACCTCTGTATGATAATAAAAGACCTCAGCAAGATAAATTGGTGTAACGAATATAAGGCGTTTTAAGAAGCACGGAATAGTTACCTGACTGCCATT